AAATCGGACGTAGAGGGAACCTTGGAAAAGCGTCAATATGTGACGACTTGGGAGTGAGAATGGGTTGCCTAGAGACTTCTTCAGTCTGATGAGTTTCAGGTGAACTCAGCCTTATAAGCTCCGCCTCCACCTGGTGGACAAACAGGTTGGTCACATGCAAAAGAGGGTCATCACCTAACAATAGGCTTGATTAGTTCTATTGTTCATAGAGGGTCATGTGTCCCATCATCTGACCTGTGTGGTGTCATGTGTATGTGGTGAATGCAGGCGGGGCTCAAAGTCCCCTGTGTTGATAACCAACACAAAGAGGGAAAAAACAAACAAAAAAACAAAAACAAGGGGACTTTGATCCCCGCCTGCATTCACTACATACACATGACATGACCCTCTAAGAACAATAGAGCTAATCAAGTCTATTGTTAGTCGATGGCCCTCTTTTACATGTGACTAACCTGTTTGTCCATGTGGAGGTGGAGCTTATAAGACTGAGTTCACCTGAAACTCATCAGACTGAAGAAGTCTCTTGGAGGAGAGAYRAAASGTTTCWCTAAAGAAGAACCATCCAGAGGAACTACTGAGTTTTTCTACCTRGATTACTGAGMTGCATCAGGACATCTCATCATTATTGTTTCCAGCTAAAGACTCAAGTTTTTAATGAAGTGCAACAACAAAGTGAGGGAACAGCTGTTTTACAGTTCATCTCATTTACATAAGTCTAATTTGTTTCTCTTTTATACCAAATACATCATGTTTATGATGATAATTCATAAACATCAAATATGGACCCAATATACATTTTCTTTAGTCTTGAGTCATTTCAAACTGTATCTGTTATTGTTGTACCGCCATGCAGGAGTCATAAGGTTTTCTCTTACTGCATTTAATACCATCACTATTTAAAAATAAAAAAGTTTAATACAGTATATCATTGGGAATTAATTTCTAGCATCATGACATATACTGTAGATTAAAAGTTTGTAAAGACTAAACCAACAGCACTGCTGTAGAGATTGGATCACTTTGTGTTTGGTGAATGTAATGCATTCCTTTGGTTTTCCTGAACAACAGATACCATCTTAATCCTTTAACTACGCCTGAGAGAAACAGATAAAGGTTTTGCTGTGGGGGCTGTGATGGAGATGATGGAGCTGCATCTGCCTGTATGTACCTGCACAAAGGACACTTGTGTTGTGGAAAAACGTGCAAATCTTAGGAAGTCAAATGAAAATCATTTTTTTTATTAAAATCTGAAATTTTAGCACAGAAACAAACTTATGTGAAGATATCTGCTGTATAATTTAACAGGAGAATGTTCAAACAAATGGGATTAGAGGAATTTTAAAATCAAATGAGATGAGTCACACTACAAATGTGCACAAAACTTTGTTGATATTCTGTTAAGGTTGAAAAACACAGTTTCACAGCTGCAGTGTTTCCATTAAGTAAKAAATGTTATTAAAGTCACGTGAATACGTTTGTTCTCATGATAAGTCATTACAAACATGGCAGCGATGGATGTAAACACATAGCATGTTGCTACCACGACACTAGCGCTCATCATCAGAGGAGACGTCGGCGTCTTTTATCGAGGCTTTCCAGAGACAAGTCCCTACTTGGGAGCGGCTACGTATGCTGTGTTTTTGGCAAATTGTAGTCGCTGAGTTTACTATTTTATACTACTTCTGTGATATTACTACTACTTCTACTTCCTGTTATCTTCTTCATCATCGTCTTTTTCACCAGTAGAAACAGACGGTTGTTGATCACGTGACTCCTGTGATGTGAAAAAACTGTTTCCATTGCAGTTTTGTGAAAAACACCAATTTTGATACGACTGAAAAACCACCTCATCCTAGAGCAAAAACATTTTGTCAAAAAACGTAATTTATTTCGAAATTCTAATTTGTGCATTTTCATGGTCAATGGAAACACAGCTTGTTACTGCTCCACTATTTATAGTAAAAGGTAAATTTACAATCTTAATACACAAAATCACAAAATGAATAGTCTCTGTCTGCTGGATGATTGAGCCTCATGCAAGAACCGTTGGTACGCACAGATTTGTTCTTCAGTTGTGCGTACGAGTGATTTAGGARAATTTGTGACATTCACCAATGTTTTCATATTCTAAGATTTTTTTCAGATACGAACAAAATTCAGGAGTGGTCCAGACCTGTCGTATATTTTACCAGCAGTCAGTCTGCTGTTATCCAGACGGGTTTTCTTCACTAATAACTTTATATTTCATTAGTTTGAAGATATTTAGAGTTACGGTGCGCAGCTCTGTGTCTTCTGAATAAATGAAAATGATTTAACACAGTTGTTTATACTTTTAGCAGCTCTTTTTATCCCACAGCTGACCTGCTAAAAATGACAGATTTTCTTTTCTGGATCTCTGACAGACGGACTTCAATCTCTGAACTCGTAAAGTTCTTTTTAGTTTTCACTGTCATTTTCATGAATGGACACTTCCTGATATCTGAGGCAGGAAACACAGCCTTATATGGTGTTTTTGGGGTGGTAATTATGCTAATCTCCTCTCRCGTGCACGAGCAGCTGGATAGAACAGGTGAATTTACGCAGCTCATTTACACACTTTTCCTGAAGATAGAAGAGTTTGTTGAATCTGACGTGACATGTTCGTACGAACCCTTTGTACGAACAAAAGTAAGAGAAATTTAGGAGAAGAATACSAACATGTTCTTGCATGAGGCCCATTGGGTCTAAAGTTAGTGTTTTCAGAGCAGTGACTGCTAGAATGTTAGGCATTGAATTATTGAAAAGGTTGAACTGTTTAACAAGTACAAC